GTGTTCTGTTCTGACAGTAGCCTCTTGTTCTGAGTACAGATTTCTCATTAATACTATCAGATGTGTTGGCACTACCATGTCTTTAAGGGCATTGCATAGCCTTTCATAATCTATGCAGTCAAAGGCTTTGCTATAGTCTATAAAATGCATGCTCATTTTCTTTTGGAATTTGCTGGTGCACTCCATTAGCCATGTTTGCAATGTTTGCAATGTGGTCCCTCATGCCTCTTCTTTTCCTGGACCTCTGGAATTTCTCTCTCCATGTATGGCTGGAGTCTATGTTACAGAATTTTGAGCATGATTTTGCTTGCATGGTGCATCAGTTCTATGTTTCATGTGTCTCCCTTTTTGTAGAAGGGGATCTATATTGATTGCTCCCAATCTGTTGGCCATCATTTGGTTTTTCATATCTGTTGACATATGTTGGTTAGCACTAGAGTTGACTCTGTCATAGAATCATAGAATCACAGAATTATAGAGTTGGAAGGGACCACAAGGGCCATCCAGTCCAACCACCTGCCATGCAGGAACTCCCAATTAAAGCATCACAGACAGATGGCCATCCAGCCTCTGCTTAAAGACCTCCAAGGAAGGAGGTCAATGTGGATGTGCAGCAGTTCAATTGGGATATCATCTGTTCCTGGTGATTTGTTTTTCACTATTTCTCTTATTGCAGTTTTCACCTCACTTTTAGAATTATCATAACATCTATTAATTATCCATTAATTATTAATTAATTAAGAATTGTCATAACATCTATTAATGTTCCATGCTTTTGTCTACCCTAATTCCAGCTACTTAGGACTGAATCTGGTATTTAGGTTTCACTGATGTCATCTGCAACAAGATCAGAAAATTTTGTTGGCATATATTGTAATTCTTCATGCGCATTTAAAACTTCTGCAACTGATACTGTTGCATCTTGGATGAACATCTAATAAGCAATCTTAGAAAGTCGAAATGAATTCGTTATATCAAGCATAGTTCTAATTGTCAGCTCTGTCTTAACACCCTTCTAGCCTCTGCTCCTTTTTACTTAGACACTGCTAGGAACTGTAGTACTGCAGGGGTATCCCTAAAGTGATTAAACTATAGATAAGTTACAGAGAAGCTGGTGCTTGGAGTTACTGGGGTTATTAACATTTCACAGAATAGCAACCAAGTCAGAATTGCTTTTCAGTGTCTGCTAGCACATCTTGGTGCTTTAGAGAGAATATCTCATTGTTTACTTTGATTTGTGCAAGGTTTTCACACAGAGTTCCTCAGCAGTATGCCATTTAATGGACAAGAAACTTTCCTATATGTTATTATCTACCAGTGCCACAAGGGTGCTATAGCCATTCTAAGATGAATAACATTCAGGGGTAGCTGTGATCGTCATTTAGCAAATTTAAACAAAAATCCATCAGTGGTACCTTTATTGGCCAACCAAAATGCACAATATACTTGTTGCAAGCTTTCGAAGGTCCATGGGCTTCTTCATTAGACAAGATGTTACAAACCAAACAGGAGAAAAACAATTGGAGATGTAAGCTTGCAACAACAAATATTTTTGGTTGGCCAATAAAGGTATCACTGCATTTTGGTTGGCCAATAAAGGTATCACTGATGGATTTTTGTTTGAATAAGACAAATAACATTTGTCTCCTAGTTTGCTCATATTCCTGCCTGATTGAAAAGCATCCCTACATGGCAGAGCCATTGATAGGTATGTTTGAAATGGCCCTGTCTGCCCTCCAAACAGTGTCCTTGGGCTGCCAAGAATATAATTCCCAGACTGTGATGTATCCGTGCACATCTCTGTTCTTTGGCAGATGTTGATTCTGTTGTCCCAGACAGGCTGATTGTACAGTATTCTTTCCAATATAGCTTATTTATTTAAATCACTTATTTACACCCAGCTTTTCAGATGGAAATGCTCTCTCTGGAAGGCTTACATATCAATAACCAACAACAGCAGCACCAACAATATACAAGACAGTCCCTGCCCTTGGGTATACAGTCTAAAATGAGATGAGACAAAAGGAAACAGGAAGGAGGGGAAAGGGAAACAAGAAACCCCAAGTGCAATTGCCAGTGTTATGAGCTTATGTCTATTTGCCTTTGTTTGTTTGTAGTAGTGTCTTGTGTCTTCAAGATGTTTCACCTTGAAACAAGCTGGTTGAACAGCTAGCTTGTTAGCCACAGCATAAAGGTTTTGAGAAACCAATTTTATGCCCCCCCCCCGTATCTCCACTTAGCTGAGTCCCTTTTAAGTCCATCCAGAAGGGTAAGCTGGTAATTGGTTGGCTAAGTATATATGAGCAAATGAACATTTTGTATAGTGTGTGAACATGTGTCCAGTTGACCACATGAAGTCTCCTGCTGCTTTGAATGTGGATATGTACACAAGGACCAAAGAAGGTTTGCCATTGCTTTTTCACAAGGCTGAGCGAGTATGACTTGCCCGAGGTCACCCAGTGGGTCTCTGAGGTGAAGTGGGGATTTGAACCCAGGTTTTGTGGAATCCTAGTCCAATAATCAAATCACTGCATTATGCTGACTCTCTAGGCACAGGCATGCTTATGTTCTAGGTTTGCATAGAATGGTAAAGTCCTTACTATCCAGAGACAATGCAATGCTGTTGCAGAAGGAGTGAAAGAAGATGTACTTTCAGAAGGAGAAGAAGACTCCTGAAGGCCCAAGGGCCGAACTGCTCTTGAGAAAAATGGTATAAAATTAATAGAATAAAACAGCCAGCCATTGTCAGAGGCATATCAATCAGGCATGTCAAACCATTTGTCTGGATCAGGATCATTGTGAATACATGAAGATGCTCGACATCCTAGTTCCCTAAGTCTGGTTCAGATTGCCCCAAGACCATAGGATCAGGGAATTGCTGATCTAGCTCCTCATCAGAGAGGACTTCCACCTTCCGGGAGCAGGGATGACTTCTGCCTTCTGGGGGTGGGACCTCCTGTGATAAATGGGAGTCCCTCCATTTATCAGGGCCTT